TATGTAATTCCCCCTTCTTATTCAATACAGTATTATTTATTCTTATCTAATTTTTATTTCATACTTAAATAATATAGATAAAATCAAATACTCTATTTGTTATTATATATTCTATACTGTACATATAAATATATTCATACATACATAGATATATATATATCGTCACAGAGTTATCAGAGCGAAAAAAAAAAACAGAAAGAAAACAAGAATTGTTTTTTGGATTTTTCATCTTCTTACTTACAACTCCCCCTGTTCGAAACCTCTTGCGTACAAGGCCGCCCACGTGGATGCAATATATATATACAAGTCCGCCTCCTGATGAGTTGGTGAAGCTTCGACGAAACAGTCTGTCACAACCCTTCGCTTGTTGCCCTCTTCTCCCTCTCCCTATCTGTCTATGGTGTTCTGTTTGTCGATATMTATGWGTGGGTGAAACTTCGATGACACAGCATAATTGCACAGCCCCTGGTTTGTTGTCCTCTTTCTCCCTCTCTCTGCCTACGATTTACCGTAGTAAGCATTTCTCTATGACGTCGATACTCTGGCACACACACTTGATTACTCGCAACACAATCAGCATATCCACACTTCAAAACAATCAGCACATCAACACTTCAAAAGAATCAGCACATCAGCACTTCAAAACAATCAGCACATCAACACTTCAACGTCCAGATCATGCCTTTGCGAGCGCAAAGACTTCACACCCCCTGTCGTCACTGAGCCGCACAACTTCATTTCTAACGTTTTCAATCGCTTCAGCTTTCTGGCAATTACGCCCARGCTGGCGTCCGTGATACACTGCTCCAGCTGTAACGTYAGAGCYTGCAAATCAGGAAGGCCGTCTGCAGTGGCGCTCAGTAAATCATCAGTAATTTGGGTGTTCGAAAGGGCCAAAGAAGTCAGCTTTGGAAGACGAGGCGCCAGTTTCCCCGTGAACTCCGCCACGTGTAGAGGAGATATCCACATCCAGATTTCGAGATCGGAAAGGGATCGGCACCCAGTCGCAATTGCATCTACGGCCTGCATCCACCGGCTGTCCAGGCGTGAAGATGTGACTTTCAATCGCTCAAGAAGGGGGCAGTTCTTCGCTATGAACTCCAGAGTAGCTATGTCGCAGAAATTCACGGACAGATCAATCAATTTACCTTGCCCCCGCGTGACGACATCCCTCGCAGCTATCTGATTTAATCGGATTCGATCCAGCGGCGCATGGATCCTCTCCACCACATTGATTATCTCCCGTTGATGTTGATGGCGGCAGCCTAGGCAATCGTACGGAATAACGGATTGCGTCCAGCAGCCGGGATCCCAGGAGGCTCGATACCAGGTCTTGCAGACTTTGCCAGCGCGGAACCTGTCCCTAGCAGCAAGAAAGCTGAAGATGAGCACAAGGGGATCGTGTAGAAGATCTTTCCAATCGTATTCATCGGCCACATAATTAACACGTTTCGCCTTAGGGTTCTGCTTCTCATGATCATAGCTTGGAATAACTTGCATGTGGTGATGTCCCCGCATCACTCTCTAAGTCGGCGCCCACTCTTTCAGTCTTAACACCGCTCGCCATCATGATACCACCATCACCATCTGACACGTCCTCCTCCCTTGTCTGCAACCTGGGGTAATCAGAACCATTATCCCTCTGCTTATAGCAAGAGAGTTCTCCGTCAATCTCCAAGAAAACGTCCTCTCTCTCTCCCGCCTTGTGTCCACTCACCCTCGACCAACCCTCTGCCATATCCCTTAGAATGTCGCTGTTCTCTCTCTCTCTCTCTCTCTCTCTCTCTCTCTCTCTCTCTCTCTCTCTCGCTCGCTCCCTCTCTCGCGCTTATGTGTGCGCGCTCGCGCCTGTAAGCAGCCAATCTTTCGTGTGAGAGGCGGAGGGAGAACGTTCACTGATCTCTCTCTCTCTCTCTCTCTCTCTCTCTCTCTCTCTCTCTCTCTCTCTCTCTCTCTCTCTCGTGTGCGCGCTCGCGCCCGTAAGCAGCCAATCTTTCGTGTGAGAGGCGGAGGGAGAATGTTCACCGACAGAATTGAAGCAATGAGTTCAAGGACGTGTCATAACTACCGGTGCTTTGCACTATGGCTGAATTTCCTTCGTTCCTTTTTTTGTCTCATCGTGAGCAGTAGTATGGATTCCGTACGTCTGGGCGTAAGCCCTCCTCCACCGTGCAACACGGATTCGAACCGGCGACCTCGGCTGGCTACAGCCAGGACACGGTGTGGAATCGTACGGGTCGTGATGTCCACCCCACCCCTGAAAGGCTGTAGTGTCCAACTCAACACRCACACCGCGCATCACCCACGGACACTGCAATTTCTCGTCCACTCTTACCCGGGACTAGGTCCCACTTACACGAACTAAGAGATACTGACCGTAGATAGCGAAGATSAACGACCCAAATCTCCTAATTTGCGCAAGTGGGACCTACTAGGTCCCACTTACACGAACTAAGAGATACTGACCCTAGATAGCGAAGATCAACGACCTAAATCTCCTAATTTGCGCAAGTGGGACCTTGCCCCCGCTCACTCAGACAGGACTTATCGATGCCGGTGGTTCAAGACCACGGGCTTTTCCACAGTAGTATGGAATCCGTACGTCAGGGGCTAGCCATCCTCCGTGCAAGCACTCACCGAGTGAGAAGTACCTGGGCTTGGGGGGGGGGGCTGCACAAATTGAGAATTGATAGAGCCTGTCAGGTCTAAGGGGAGGGGAGAGTCAAGAATGACAGTCTGCAATGCCTTATAGGGGGTAGAGCCATCGTAATGGCAGAGTTCCAACAAGGGTTGGGAATCACTGGCAGCCCCAACGGGATTTGGAGCTCGACCTCATGTACAATGAGAAACAGGCCCCA